ACAGGCACACTCATAGGGCTGCAGGTTCATTTCCAGTCTTGTGCACGCACACACACACGTACACTTCAGGTTCATTTCCCGTCATACACGCACGCTATGGGTTCATTTCTAGTCACACACGCATACAAACACCCGCCCACACACATTCAGGCACACATGTACATACCCAGGGCTGCAGGTCCATTCCCAGTCCCCATGGAGAGATGGCATTCTCTGGGAGGGACCAGAAAGGGCACACGGAGCAGGAGTTCTGAAGGCCCCCTGAACCCCCCCCCCCTTGTCTGCAAATGAGATTCGGAGTTGGGGCTCAGCTCAGATTTAGGCTCAGCCTAGGTTAGAAACTCAGGCCAAGATCAGGAGTCAAACCAGGATAACCAGGATAGAGTGCTCATCCCGGGGTCGGGGCTCAGCTGGGGTCGGGGCTCAGGCCAGGGTTGTGAGCCCATGGCATTGCTCCGGGAGCATCATCCTGTCACTGGCCTCCATCACCCCACTGGGCTGTAACCAGGGTCTTCCATGCTGCAGAAGGCTCATCGGGTCAGGTCTAAGACAGTGGAAAATTCATGCCAGCCTCGGGGCCGTGGCTCCCACCGCAGCCCACGCCCCACAGTGACCTGCTGACGGATGAATGCCTCTTGCTCCAGGGGCTTCAGGGGCCCTCACACCTGGTGCTGGTGTGTGATGGTTCCAGCGCCACCCCCACAATCCATCTGGCCATGGGTCAAATGAGAGTGAGCCACTTTCTGCCAGAGGCAGGTGGGACACAGGGGATTTGGGGACCTCTCAGACCTCCATGCATGGCCTCCTGGCACCTTGCTGGCCCGTGCTGGGATGGCCAAGCTCGCTTGGTAGCTCTTGGAGACATTTAGAAATCAAACATCAACCAAGAGGTCTGCCGCTAGACCATGGATCAGCAAGCTGTGCCATAGAAGTGGAAACTGAGTCCAGCACTGGCTGCCTGGGTGACCAAAAGCCAGGCTCACAGCAGCAACCCCACATACCTGCAGACAACAGGCCTGTGTTAGACGACAAGAGCCCTGAGGTCCTCCACTGAAGGCCTGCTTTTAGGATTCATCTTTTTCTGTGAAATACATACAATCCCACATGTTTTCCGTCCTTCTGTATCGCCCTGGCATTTCTGTACTTAAGAGACAACCCAGCCTAGCAGCCTGAGCCTTCAGAGCCCCAGAGAACTCAGAGCTGAAAGGACCCTAATCTGGCTGGACTTGCAGTCTGTAGCTTGCAGCTTTATCTATCTATCTATTTTTTTTTTTTTCTTGCAGTCTTTTTAGTGGCTAAGTGAAGTTCCCTTGCATAGATATGCTGCATTGGCTTATCTATTTATCAGCCAACAGTCGCTTGGGTGCTTTTTGCCTTCTGGATGTTGTTAATCATGTTATTTGACTCTGGAACCCACTGTGTGTTGTCTTATTTTAATGACCACACATTATGTTGTGTGAGAAAAGAAAGAGGTGAAAGTCTGTCATGGTCCTTTTTATCACTCTGCCTCCTTCTCAAACTCAGGTCATTATGCTGATAACAGGGGAGTTAAGTTGGGGTGGCTTACTGGAAGAGGTGCCTGCACAAAGTCTAAGCTCACCACCTGAAGCTTGGCTCTTGGCACGGTGACATTAAGATTGACAATGCAGAAGTCAGGCACTACAGTCATTCTGCTTAAGGAGTCACAGATGAATTCGGCCAAAGAGAGTGTGGACTCCTCCTTCAGCAAACACCCTCCCCAGGATGCCCATCCAAATGGCATGGGGGTGGACAGGAAGCGACTGCAGGACACAAAGCAGAGACTTGGTAGAACAGAGACTCAGCCTGCAGTTTCTAGTGCCCGGATCAGATGGATTCTGCTTCCAAACTAACCTTCCAGAACATTCTCTGTCCACCAGGAGAGAAAACAGTCACCCGGAGGGATAACCAGGGGAACTCCCACAAGCACACCCGCTCTGCTGGGAGAGCGCTCAAACCACAGTTCCTCTGCCTCATGCCCCCTGCCTCCTGGCTCTGTGCCACTTTGCGAGGCCCTCTCTGGCTTCATCATCAGCTGGCTTGGCTTGGAGATCTGCCTTTACGACATTCCCACAGTTGCTAAAAGCACTCTGGACTTCCGCCGCCTCACGGCCTCTGCACAGCCTCAGCAGTCTCCCTCTTTTTCATCCAGACAAGCGGTCCAGCATCCCTGAGGACTCCAAGCTACACAGCCTCAGCCAAAGGCACACATGGGACCTTAAATTCAGGAGGCTGATGTGTGTGGCTGGGGTAGGCCTGAAAATGGGCTGGGTCACCTGAAGGGAACATAAAGGAAAGCCTTGGTAAGTACTTCCTTCTTCCTTTTCATCAGCGCCCTGGGAAGGCAGCTGGTGCTGACCTCCTCAGCCGCAACTGCTTCCTCCTGCAGGTAAGGCCACTTGGCATGACAATTTTGCTTGCCCCACTCTGGAACACCTACACGTCTTGGGTGAGACCACTTTAGCCTGTCCTTCGTCTCATCTACCCTGGCTTCTTTTTCATTCCTGTTGCCACCGGGGCTGGTCCAGGGCTGATGGGGCTGGGGCTGGCGGCTGATGGAGTGACTCAGACCAGAACCTGCAGCCTGTGTCCATAGGAAGGCACTCTGCAGAGGCTGGGGGGGGGGGGGTCTGGGTTTATGGAGCAGGGAGATTCTCTCTGACTGCAGGCATGGAGTCAGAGTTTCAACCTCACGCTGACCCAGGGCTGGACTGGAAGTCATACAGTCCACAGCACGGGCCACCTGGGCCCTCGCCACTGTGTTCATTCTCACACAACAAACAAGGGGTGAACCCAGACCAGATGTGGGCTTTTTTGCTTGTATGTTCAGTTGTTGTTCCCGGTCGTCATCTTCCTCTTCTTCCTCGTCGTCCTTCTCCTCCTCTTTTTCTGGTTCTCACATAGTCCAGCTGGCCTCAAATTCCTGACGGTCCTGCCTCTCCACGCACCGTGCTTGGATGACAGTGAGGCCATGCGTGGCTTGGGGAGGAATCCAGGGCTCCTCCTGTGCTGAGCAGCACTCACCCTCTCTGCCTTGTTTTTGGATTGTAGAATCCAGGCTCCGTCCTCCTGCCCCAGTATCTGGAGTGCTGAGATCACAAGTGTGTTAGCATGCTAAGCTGTGGGTTGGAAATATTTTTCTTTCTTTTGTTCTTTGCTTTGTTTTTACTGAGTTTTGTTCCATTCCAACAAGGTGGACTTTTCCCATTACATTCTTCTAGAGAAAGTATCTTGGAGTCAGTGTGGACGGGATCCGGGGCCCCCTTCTTTGTTCAGATCACCTCCCTGCAGGTTAGAGTTGCCCAGACCAGGGTCATGTAACATTGGTGTAAAACCTGACTCTGCTCCTTGAGGCATACAGTGCACCAGAATGATGAAAGTACATAACCGGAGAGGACCCACCGAAACCCAAGGCTGGGCCAACTTGCCCTGCTACTTTCTTCTTTCTTTCCAAACACCTTGCTAGGAGCTCAGATTTAAGCACCTGACTTCTTCTTCACCCACCTGCCCCATTCAACTTATAGGGCATGGAATGTAAGTAGGAGGGTTCTGGGATGAGTGAGATCGGGGTGGAGCCCCCGCCTAGAATTCCCCAGTGAGGGCCAGGGGCGTGGTCAGGGTGGGGCCCCGCTTAGAATTCCCCAGTGAGGTGCTGGGGGCGTGGTCAGGGGTGGGGCCCTGCCTAGAACTCCTCAGTGAGGGCCAGGGTCGTGGTCAGGGTGGAGCTCCGCCTAGAATTCCCCAGTGAAGGCCAGGGGCGTGGTCAGGGGTGGAGCCCCGCTTAGAATCACCCAGTGAGGGCCGGGGCGTGGTCAGAGGTGGAGCCTCAGCCTAGAGTCCCCAGTGAGGGGCTGAAGGCAGGGCTCACTCAGCCCATCCTCCTTACTTGCCAGAAACCCTGGGCCCTTCCCTGACAGAAGGAAAGGAAAGCTTAGAAAGGACATGGTGATGAGGCTGTTGCCGGCAGCCAACCCTGGCCAGCTGCCTCCAGAACTTTCTCAGCTCCCCACACCGTGGTCCAACAGACCACCATGGTATTCCCACACGTGGCCCACAGACGGAGTTACCAACTCGCGTGTACTCATTCTTTTCTTTTCAAAACTTACATTAATTTACTTACTGTGGGACCATGCATGGAGGACAGATGACAACTGGCAGGAGTTGCTTCTCTCCTTCCACCATGTAGGATCCAGGGATGGGCCTCAAGTCATCGGGCTTGGTTGCAAGAAACAGGCAGCAGGAAGAAAGATCCAGAGATCAACATTTTCATCTGAAACCTTTTTAGTGACAGCGGTGCTCAGCACCTGTGTCTCTTCTCTCTTTTGTTCCTACTGGATTTTGTTTGTTTTTACATGTGTTTCATGTTTATTTATTTATTTGTGTATGTGTGTACATGAGTGCAGTGCCTGCGGAGGCCAGAAGGTGGCGTTGGGTCCCCTGGAACTGGAGTTGTAGGTGTTTGTGAGCCGCCACGTGAATGCTGGGAATGGAGGAACCCGGGTCCTCTGCAACAGCAGCCAGTGCTCTTACAGCTCAGTCAAGCCCAGCCCCAAGTGTCAGGATATACAGGACTCTTAAGCCGGGCAGGGCGGAACAGCAAAGCACCCAGAGCGGTTGAAGTAGGAGGATTACCATGGGTTTATGTACCCAGGCAAACCTGGGCGACATAAAACCCCGTGTCAAAAATCCAAAAGATGAGGGCTGGGGAGTAAAGTGTAAAGTGCTCAATGCTCTGGAATGGGACCTGAGTTCAAATCCCCAGTACTCACATAAAAAAGGCCACACAGTCACATCTCCATGCCTCAAGTCCCAGATCTGGGGACGCAAAGACAGGAGGATCCCTGGTACCCCAGTCAGCCTAATCATGAGCTCTTGACTCTGCCTCAAAGTGTAAGGCAGAGAACAACTGAGGAAGACCTCTGACATGGACCTATCCAGCTCCCAATCACCATGTTGAAAAGGCTCTGTGGTCCCCTAGTTAGATGGCATCCAAAGATGACTCCATTATCAGTCTAGAGATCAGGGCTGTCGGGTAAGTGGGAGAAGAGTTGGGGGAGGTTGATGGTGCGGGAATGGTAGGTCTGGGTCAGCAGTGACTCTGAGTGTACGTAGCTGGGTGCATGCCCTGCCCGTCTCTGAGACGCTTGGTGGACGGTTCCAGGACTGCATGGATTAGAAGTGAAGAGTCTGTGACAGCAAAGGTCCCCAAGTTGAGCTGCATCCACAGGATGAATGTGGCACTTCATACATGACTTCAAACCTTACCATCTTACCCCTTCCTGCCAAAATCCTAGAATCAAAACGCTAGAAACCTCTGTGAAATTTTCTACCCCACTCAGGTATTTCCTCAGACTGGAGAAGAGTGTGGGAAAGGGTGGCGTCCAGGAGTGACCAGAGAAAAACTCCTGGAGACCCCTGTCCACACAGAGGGTCTTTTCTCCCAGCACTGAGGAGGAGGTGGCTCCAGGAGTCAGGTCTCTGGGTCTCTGGTTCTTCGCTGTAAGTGATGTCCCCTGAGTATGGTCATCTGTCATATAGAAAACAATAACAATATCCATCAAGATTTGGCTGGATGGCTGGACACGCCTGTCAGCCCAGCGCTCAGGAGATGGAAAGGCAAAACGTTCCACGTTCTCCTCAGCTACTGAGCAATTTGAGGCCAGCCTGGGCTACATAAGACCCTTGTGGGAAATTCAGATGACTCGGAATATTTGAGTTGGTACCTCATGTTCCTGTTAGTAGCCACAGGTCAGTGACCAGCCCTGCCTCGCTCTCTCCCCAGGTCTCCCAGCCCGTGGAGATGACCCAGGCAGCCAGGGCGCAGTGTCCCTGGCGTTTGTACCTCTCAGGGATGCTGCTGCAGCTGCTGCTGGCTTTGTACTTCTTCTCCATCCGAAAATCCCATGACCACCCTGGCCCTTCACCTCTTCATAGCTCCCCAGGCCCAGCCTCCACCCCTGCTCCCCCAGGCCCCCAACCTCTTCTCATCTTACTGTGGACATGGCCCTTCCACCAGCCAGTGGCTCTGTCCCCCTGTTCCCAGCTCCTCCCAGGCACGGCCGATTGTCATCTGACGGCCAACCAGAGTGTATACCCTCAGGCAGATGCGGTCATCGTCCACCATCACGAGGTCAGCACCAACCCCAGCTCTCAGCTGCCACCTCAGCCGAGGCCACCGGGCCAGCGCTGGGTATGGTTTAATATGGAGTCGCCCAGCCACTGCAGCGGCCTGCCAGGCCTGGACGGTTACTTCAACCTCACCATGTCCTATCGCAGCGACTCTGACATCTTCATGCCCTACGGCTGGCTGGAGCCGTGGCCAGAGCCTCCGGTCCAAACTCAGGTCAACCTCTCTGCCAAGACTGACCTGGTGGCCTGGGTCGTGTCCAACTGGAATCCCAGGTCAGCCCGGGTGCTGTACTACCAGAAGCTCCGGGGCCACCTCCGTGTGGACGTGTATGGCCGAGGGCATATGCAGCTTTCCCAAAGGAACATGACGGAGACGCTGGCCAGATACAAGTTCTATCTGGCGTTTGAGAACTCCCTCCACCAGGATTACATCACAGAGAAGCTATGGAGGAATGCCCTGGAAGCCTGGGCAGTGCCCGTGGTCCTGGGGCCCAGCAGGAAGAACTACGAACGCTTCCTGCCCCCCGACGCCTTCATCCACGTGGATGACTTCAAGAGTCCGGGGGACCTGGCCCAGCACCTGCGGAAGCTGGACAGGGATAGCCTGGGCTACCAGCGCTACTTCCGCTGGAGGAAGCTGCTCAGGCCGTGCTCCTGGAGCATGGCGCTGGCATTCTGCAAGGCATGCAGGGAGCTGCAGTGGAACCAGAGGTACCAGATGGCGCCGAGCTTGGCCTCTTGGTTCCAGTGAGGCAAGAGTGTCCCACCCACAAGCTATCGCCTGAGCCCTCGGCGACAGACACCTCCTTCATCTGGGGCCCCGAGGTGGGCCTCTCAGCTGCTCAGAGCCTTGGTTCTGGGAACTGCACCTAAAACTTTGCCCAGTAGGGATGTGGGTAGCCGGAAGCCCGAGCTACAGCAAACACACCCAACCCCGGAGCCGCTGACTCCCCAGGGTCCTCCCCGGGGTGGGGGGTCTGCCTCATTTGTGGTGTTTATGACACGCTACCTCCTGTGGGGGTGGGGGTGTCATCTGTCACAGCTGTCCAGATGGACCTTATTCTACGCGTTCACCCAAGGTGACCTTGTGTTTTCCTGGCGACACTCGGACACACACTGGGAGTGTTTGCGATGGGGATGCCCAGCCGTGTGGGTGGCCCTGTGCGGCTCCCGAGCCCGAGGGGGGGGCAGAGCCGAGACCGAGGAGACACTGTTTACCTTTCCATCTCCCGGTGGGTTCCACCCTGCTTCCCGGCTGGCATGCTGGAGTGGGTGGGAGACAGGAGGCCAGCCTCCCTGCAGGCCTGCGGGAGCCTGCTTCCTTCCCCACACGCGGGACCCTCAGGGAGCACAGGCTCCGTGGTCTGACCACACTGGGGAAACTGAGGCCAGAGACAATCACTAAGGGGTTTCCAAAACATGTGGGGATTCTGGCCTCTTAGTCAGCATTGGCTGATTCCACTGAAACCAAGCGGGAAACCCATCTTCGCCTCTGAAGAAGCTGGACAGACTCTGGCCCTGACCCCCACCTCCACAGAGAACACCCACGGGCTGGGGCCAGCACCTCCAATCTCCGCCGAGCACCTGAGAAGCCTTCCGGAGTTGATTCCGGCAAAGAGCTGGTCTGTCCTCAAACTCACAGATCACTGGGGGAGCTGGACAGGGACAGACACCCACTAAAATCCCAGCTCCAGTGTCTGGAGGTGACAGGTCATATAGCAAGCTGGGACCAAAGTGAGCTCACCCTTCCCCACCCATTCCCCCGTGGGACCCGCAGCCCCCTTCACCCCGATCTCTGGGATGCCGACACTGCCTGGCACCCTCCAGGCCTGCCAAGCATCGAGGTGACACCAAGGAGAGACACCCGCAACCCTGCCCTTCCACGCCCAGCCAAGGTTTTAAGGATACAGGGCCCAGGTCCCTGGGGACCCAGCCTTGCTGGGCAGGCGCCGGCTTGGGGTTGGCACGCGCCCCAGACCTGTCCCCGCGGGGAGGTGGGCAGTGAGAAAAGGGTATTTTTAGCTGGAGGAAGGAGATAGACAGGGCCTCGGGAAGCCCACTGCACTTTCGTTTGTCACCCACAGCTGAGGCCTCGGCATATTTTCTTTGTTGGGCTTTTGAGACAGTCTCAGGTGGGCCTACAAGTCGAGATGAGGCCAAGCACCCCCATCATTGTGCCTCTCGATGGCTTGGGTGACAGGCATGGACCAAGGTACTTTGTCTCAGCTTTTTCTCTCTCTGCGCAAGCGGTCTCACAGAGAGACGCAGTGAAAAGACGGGGGGGGGGGGGGTGGGGGGGGTGGGGGGGGTGGGGGGGGTGGGGGGGCACTGCGCATGTGCGCGCCTGTGTCCTGTCTGTGCCGGCCCTGCTGGGGCAGAGGCTGGTAGCAGAGGCTGGCTTCCTCAGTTGCTCTCTGGCTGCACCTGGTGCTCTCTTCTTCCGGGATGCTGGCTAGTCAGAGATCCCCGGCTCCGGAGATCCTGTCATCCCAATCTTCCTAATGCCTCCTGCATCTTTTCACGTGGGCCCTGAAGATCCAAGTCAAGTCCTCATGCTCGAAAAGCAAACATGTCACCCACCGAGCCCTCTCCCCAGCCTTCTGTTCTTCCATCTGTTTCCCCCTTTCTCTTAGGACACTAGGAACCCCCACTCCCACCACTGTCCCCAATGACAGAGCTGGGGACCCCGACATTCCGTCTGAGTTCAGTGTTTGAGAAAGTCCTGAGGCCTCCAGGGCATGGCCCACGTGCATGCACACACACAGGCATGCACGTGCAGATGGGTGTGACGGTGGCGCTGTCTGGCACATCCAGGAAGGAAACCCATCCTGATGGCCTGCGGGTAGCAGCAGGACTGCGCGTGCGTGTACTCGTTCCCTGCCCAGGCGCCACCAGTGGAGCCCACAGACCTTCACGTGCCGACATTTGACAGAGCAAATTCCAGGGTTGGCCATCCCAAGGAGAATGTTCTCGAAGGTCTGCCTCGTCCTGGGTACTCTGCAGGAGAGCTCGGTCTGTGGAGGAGGAGACAGGACTCAGGGGTGAAGAGATTCCTTCGCCCCTCCCCCTTCTGGGCCATGCCTAGGCTCTCCCACCCTCCCATAAAGTCGCCTCTTCTTCACCCTTCCGTCCTTTCTATGATCTGCTTGCATGTGCTACAGTAGGGCTGCAGTCGCCCTGCCCTCTGGCTGTCTCCAGTCTAGGCTGTCTTAGGCTCTTAGATCTTTTCCCCTTTTGTAGAAATACAGGGGCTCAGGCAGTAGCCCTCACCCCGATGATTGAAAAGCTGAGGCAAGGAGGTTGGGGGGGGTGTTTGCCAAGAACAGTTTGGAATGGAGTGACAATTTTTAAAAATAAATAGTCCTCCAAAAACAGCAGAGGCAGGTGGATCTCTGAGTTCAAGTCCAGCATAGTCTACAGAGTGATCCAGGACAGTCAGAGATACACAGAGAAACACTGCTGTCTGGAAAAAGAAAAAAAAAAAAAAAAAAAAAAGCCAACAGGCAAGAAGCAAGTCAGTGGTCGAAGGTGGCAGCCCCCGGGCCCACTTGAGGTGGAAGGGGAGGACTTCGCAGAGCTGACCCCTGACCTCCACATACCCCACTTCATGCACAGGTAGGTTATCAACCATTTATTATCATTATTATTATTATCAAACACCCAAGTTTAAAGAGCCAACTGCAGTGATGCTCCGAGTCAGCTCAGCACTTGAGTTGTTTTTTGGGGGACTCCCTGCATTGTCCCAGCTGGCCTGGAACTCACAGACATCCACCTGCCTCTGCCTCCAGAGTGCTGGGAGTAAAGACTTGACACACTATACCCAGTATACCAATAGTTGGAAGACTGAGGCAGGAGGATTCCCATGAGTTGAAGTTTAGCCTTGACTAGAGACAGATACTATGCCTTAAAACAAACAATAAACAGAAAAGACCCACAAAAGCCTCTTGTGGTGGCACCATCCACCATCTCAGCACTTGGGAGGCTCAGTAGTTCAAGCTCATCTGCGCTACGGCGACCTAAGAAAGCGAGGCTGTCAGGCTCAGCGCTCATGAAGCCCTTGCAGAGAACTTGAGTTTGCTCCCAGCTCCCAGGTCAGATTCCGTAACTCCAGAGCTCCAACGCCTTCGTGCTCTGTGGGCGCCCATGCTTGTGTGCACACACTTGTGAAGACACACGCACATGCAAGTTTAAAAAGAAAAAAAAAAAAGCCATATCCCCAAATACAAGGATGTGTGTGACTTAGAATCTAGAACCTCCCAGTGAGGGGCCGGGGCAAGGCTCAGTGACCCCTCACTTGCCCCAAATCCTGGGCTCCGCCCCTGACAGAAGGGAAGGAAAGCTTAGAAAGGACATGGCGATGAGGCTGTTGCCGGCAGCCAACCCTGGCCAGCTGCCTCCAGAACTTTCTCAGCTCCCCACACTGCACCGTGGTCCAACAGACCACCATGGTATTCCCGCACGTGACCCACAGACGGAGTTACCTACCCAATAGTACACCCTTTTAAATATGTTCACTTACTGTGTGTGCATGTTTCTGCGCATGTCTGTGTGTACTTTCTGTGCCTTATGTGTGCGTACATGCATTTATGTGTGTGCATGTCTGTGCGTGCGTTGTGTGTGCGTGTGTTGAGTGGAGAGCAGAGGTCTCTTCTTCCAAGTGGGACAGAAGGATCAAGGCCAGGCTGAGCCGTGGTGGCAGTCACGTGCTGAGCCCCTTGCCACCCTCACGGTCCTCCCTTCATACTGGAGTCCTGGAGAGCTGTGCTGCATTTTCAGGCTTTGGAAAAAGTTATCTGTTTTGGATGCTAAAGTTTCCTTTGGCAGAAATAAATGGGCTCATACAAAAACAACATAAGTTGGTTTCATGGGGAACCATTTTGAGTTTGAAAAGCTTTAGCTTTGAAATTTAAACTGTTTTTTTTTTTTTTTTTTTTTTTTTTTTTTTTTTCCTCAGTGCCAGGCTCTGGGTATAGTGGTGTATTTGGGAATCACAGAAAGAGGAACATGAGTTCAAGACCACCCTGGGCTACATGGCAGGGCCGATCACTTATATTCAATCAATTAGTCTTTGTTGTTGTTGTTGATCGAGACAGAGTTTCTCTATGTCGTACTGGCTGTCCTGGACTTGCTTTGTAGACCAGACTGGCTTCGAACTCACAGCCATCCTCTGCCTCCTGAGTGCTCTGATTTTAAAGGTGTGCACCGCCACACCTGGTACACCAATCAATCTTTCTAAAGAGTGCAAGGCTAAATATGCTCACTGCTCCTGTCCCTGCACAATGCGGCTACTGGCAGAGGCGAAAGCATACAGATGCACAAAAAACGGCCTGCCGAGGAACAGGCAACAGACAGCCTTCCCAAATCATCCATCCCTCAGCCCAGAATCTGCTAACAAAGGCGCAGGCCCCCACGCCATGTCTTTTCTTTCTCTTTTTTCCTTGTCTTTTCTGTGATTTTGAAAATGTTTGTTTCCTGGTTGTGTCTTTGAGTCTGGGTCTGGCCTCCAACCCACTCTGTATCTGAGGGTGCCCTTGGCTCTGACCTTCCTTTCTAAGCGCTGGTAGCATGTGCCATCGGGGGCGGGGTGTCATTTTTCATCTTTGCTGTGTTGGGTGCTGAGGCTCAGACTTGGGACCTTCGCCAGCGTTCACACAAGTGTGCTCTTAGCCACGTCCTCAGCTGCAGCCGTGTTCAGGGTTTGGCCATCGTATTTCTTTTTAAAGGTTTATGTGCATTCGTGTTTTGCCTGCA